TTTGTGAGCAAATGCTTTTGCATATTCGAAGTGTTTCCTCCCTTAAATGAAATATCTACTTTGCAAGTATCAGAAGTTGCCCTGTTGTCATCCGTTCTGGTAAAGTATAACCAAACTTTTGAGCCTTTGAGCGGCTTAGGCGACATGTTTCCTGCCAGGTAAATGACACACCGCAACGTGGTGACGTCATTCAGGGCGACTGGAATCGATAAGGGAATCGTTTGCAAAAATGGCAAACAATTCCAAGGAATTGAAACAGTGGGAACCGGTTCTCAACAAGAACCGGTTCTCAATAAGAACCGGGTTTCGATACCCATCCCTAATTGTAACACAACATTTTTCAATGTTTTCATTATTTTATTATTAATTTGCATAAAATTGCAAAACTTCTGGGTTAAAATGCCCCCCCAAGGCATTTGTAGCTGAGCTATAGCCATGAGGTTTGGCAGATAAGGATATAGTGCAAAATAGCATGCCTTTTATTTGCAGTTTATGCATCGGAAATGGGTTGATATGCTACATTTTGGGGACATAGTTTTGAGAGGCATTTGCAGACAGTGAAGTTCAGATAACAAACACTGGAAATAGCATAGCTGTTTTTGTGTGCAGCTGCATTTTTGGTTTCTATATTTGGCCAGCTTTTCACGTATAGTATCACAATTATTAATTGATTTTGGATTTAATATATTAAATTCTTTGTGGGCACAAAAAAAAGAAAAGAAGAGGCGAATTCTATACCCTAAATTCTAAAGCAATCAGTCAAAGGAAAACTAGTTGATTTGTGAAGTTGCTAGAAGGGGGGAAATCAAATGCCTTGATTGATAGGAAGGACAATAACAAAATCTGTGAGGGAGGAAAATGCATCAGTTTGTTATGTGGAGGAAACTGCAGTTAACCAAAAGGGCAACTCGGCAATTAAAGAAAAATGAGAAGGTGGGTTCAGCTGTGTCAAGCATATCGGCAGCAGTTTTTTCATCTGTCAATTTCATCAGTGTACATTAGGCACAATAATGTAAAAAAAAAAAAAAAAGCCTAAAGAAGTTTAACAGTCAGCTCTTGAAGGTTAATTATGATCTTTTTTAGTTACTTACTGGTAGTAGTATTAAAAAACTCACAGACATTAGTTCTGGAAACAGATTTAATGGACTGAGCTTTTCTACTGAAAGTGCAGTTTTTCTTAGTCAGCTAACCAACACACAGACCTTGGACAGAAGAGTGCAACACCATCTTTAAATTCTCAGAATCATTCTTGGTAGATAGTTCAGAGATATAAAGAAGTTGGAGAGGAAAAACTGAGCAGATGATGTGTTTTCTTTGGATAGCCCACATTTTCTGGAGGGCTGTTTTGTGTGTTGTGGATCTATAATATTTATTTTTTTTAAAAAGCTGGCCTCATGCGCTGTTGTTCATTTTGGTGTGACAAGATACCGGCACTGTGGGATATCTCAAACCCCAGGAACCACAGGCTGAACCAATATATATGCATCAGCAACACTAGCAGTGAGTTACTTTTACGGATTTATAGTTTTTCAAAGGAAATTCTCATTCTAGATGCACTGACACACTTTAGAGGAGATAATTCTCAGTTTGTGTTTAAAATTAAGTGGATGGCTAAAAAAGAAGGGGACTAGAGGCCCAGGTCTTTTTTGACTGAAGCAAAAACATGTTAATAGCATCTAAGGCTGCAAATATGTTGATTGTAGGTTGTGAAAGAGTTGTCGCTTTCAAAACTGGGATGATCATTATTTGCGAGTATATGAGCCGAGACTGTGTAGTTGTTTTGTGTAGAGTCAGGCAAAGCCGGGCATAAAGGTTTATCTTTTATATGGTACCTTGAAATTACTGTGTTATTTTGAACCCAGCAGCCTCGGTGTAGCTGCACAATAAAGCTTTGAGATAAAATTATAACCCTCTAAAAATTAGAAAAAAATTCAGTTATGAATCTTTAATACAGAATGAACATGCTCTGCTAGAGGAAAATATGAATCCTTAGGACTACGTTTGAAGCTAGAAATAAGCAATTTAGCTGTGGCTGTCTTAGTTTCCGTACACGTTTACAATTACACAGTATCTTCAAGGCTCCCAAATGATCCACTTTTATTCCTGCTCATATTTTTGCAGATTTGTGTCAAGCCTAGAAGTATTTGCAAAGCGTAATGTTGTTATTTACTGTAGGCATTCTCAGCCCTGAAAAAAATGCAGTATATTACATATTTAATACCAGTGCAATGAAGGAACTATTTATGAGGGTTTTGTTCCGAAGCGCATCAATATGTCACTTTGGAGAAATAAAATGATTTGAGATACTCAGAATATAGATGTAGTAAGTGAAGACAGTTTGAGCAGAGCCCGAGCATAAATGTAATTACTGTCTAAGTTATTTTGCCCTCCAGTGAAGGCAGAGTGAACCTGGCTTGTTAGGCCTGGCCTGGCTTGCATTGTCCTTGAGGGCAAATCGCTGTTAGCATGCTAATGGTTCCACCTGTTTCTGCCATGCCACCGGCACAAGGGCAGAGGCAAGGAAACACTCACATGAACACAAAGCTCAAGACTCACACATCCACACACAGGCGCCCAAAGTTTAATGTACACACAAGCACACAGACACACAGACACACACTCTGTCCCAGTATTGGACCATGCATGCCCCTTGTCTTCCTGCACTGCTAATCCATCCCTACATGTTTACCCTGCTATTTCACATCATTATTACTGCCATAGTCGACGTTAGTGTGAGTGTGTGTGTGCGTGTGTGTGAGAGAGAGAGAAAGTGAGAGAGAGAGAAGGAGGGGAGAGAGGTAAAGAGGATGTGGGAGAGATTGCGAGATTGAAAGTGTGTGTTGCATGCTATATGTCGGGGGGCTCCGGGGAGAGGAAGCGGCTACAAGGTAAGTTATGGGGTAAATGGCTCTTGAATCCAAACCTACAGGTAGGACTGTATATTTACACCAACACCCCCTCCCCACCCCTCTACCTGAATACCCCCACCTCCACCCCTGTGTACCCTACAAGTGTGGGTGGGCGTGTGTTTGTTTACGCACTTAGATATGTGTATTTGTACCCGCGTGGAGTCGTAGAGAGACTGTTCATCTGTATGTATAGATAAATCTCAGTTTTGGCTACCAGTGCAGCATGGTATCCATTGTGTCCGTGCGTGGACTTTTGCATGTGTGTTGCCGCGGTAACCCCGGACAGGTGTGCATGTACAGTAAGTAGCCATGGTAACCCAAGGGCTGAGCATGCATGTTAATGAATGTCTGTCTCTCTCTCTCCTCGGCCGGCCGCAACACCTTTCCAGAGCACAGCTACACTCCAGGTAGGTTGTACTATCTATCTATCTATCTATCTATCTATCTATCTATCTATCTATCTATCTATCTATCTATCTATCTATCTATTTCAATATCCTGCTCTTAGTTCAAACTTTTCCTCATTCTTCTCGCTTCTTTTTCTAATCGACACCTTTCTTGCTTTTTAGTCAACTCGTAATCATGACCATCTTTTCTTTTTCATCATTCCTCTTCTCGCTTTTACTTCTTTTCCATGTCAGTATTACCTTCATCTCTCACTCAGCACATTGTCTGTTATGGAAATACATTAGTAATAGATAGCCAGGTTAAAAAAAGGTAACCAGCCTAGATGTATGTTGGTCTGTGTGGGTATGTAGGGGTTGGATGCTGATATCTGGTAAGTACTACATCTCATGCGCAATCATCTGAAGTGGCTCTTGCCTTGAGGTTATGTAGACGCGCAAATACTGTAAAGTGTACGACCTAGTTTATGGCTATGTGCAAACGTCTGTGTTCATACCTGTTTGTGCGTAGGATCGGTGCCTAGGATAAGTAAGTGTCTTCAAAGCGAGGGTTGTTTTGTTTTGTTTTTTAGACATTTTGTATAACTTAGATGACTCATGCACTCACAGATACACACACCGGCACAGAGAAATTTAGCCTTCATCAGCATGCCATTGACAAACTCCTGTATCACAAAATCACATACATGCGCACACACACACCCCATGATCCTTTACTGTGCTGACTGTGCTCTTGTCTTCCTTTAAGGTCTGGCACACCTGATGATTGGCGACCAAGGTATGGCCTCCTCTTACCTCACTTCCTGTTGTCCTCTGCTATACCATCACCCTTCCCTCCCCCTTACCTCTTAACTCCCCCTACACTCCTCCAACACTCCTTGTATCCCTCCCCCACCTCATCGCCACCTGGAGCCGAAGAAAGTTGTCTCTCTAGGCACTGAACGAAGGTCAGTTTTTTCTCCGTGATTAAGACGTTAAACAGTCCAGAGTTTTAATTTAAGCTGAAACGAATGCAATTTGCTGAAACAGTTAGACCTGAACTATGCTTTTGAAGATTATTTTAGGTGTTAAGTGATGAATCTGAGAGAAACTTCTTCTAAGATATATATTCAGTAGTCAAGGCTGGAGTAACGGGAGGGTGTAGATGGCTGCTGCTTCAGCGCTTGGTTGGATTAGACTTGGCAGGGCTCCAGGTCATGGAGATGGATCTATGGGCCGACTGACCGACTGACAACATGGATGGTTTGATTTGGTCTTTACTATTCACCTCATTTCATTTTCTCTCATCTGTGTGTAAGAGTTTGACTGAGAGGGATGTGAGTGCTGAGTGTGTGTGTGTGTGTGTACGATGTAGCCATACATGTGCATGTGTGCTCTTACAACAGGGTTTGAATCAGTGACTGGAAGCTTTCAGAGAAACGCACATCCGCACTCCTCCATGGCTTTTCATCTGCTTCCAGCATGTCTCGCTCTGCCGTTGCCGGTGCTCACATGGGCTCCCGTTAATACGTTGGCGAGCGCATGTGATTCTGAACAGATGTTCCTGCAGCATATGAAAGCATTGCTGCTACACCTCAAAACCCAAGTTGCCCAGTGTTTTTGAAGACATCCCCAAAAACAAGTGCCACTGGTCTGCTTGAAAACTGTTCACTGATGACCAAAAAACTCACACTGCCACCTCTTTTCTTCCTGCCCCACCCCCCTTCTCCTTCTCCTTCTTTGTTCCTGCCCTCTTACACTCTGTGTGGGACACCACCCTTTGTGATTTTAGGAAAGCTCAGAGGTACCTCCCATACTTTTTTATGTATCTATGGCTAATGAGCTATTCTGGATGGTTTTGAAGCTGGATGTATTGACAGGCTCTTGAATGTATGGTAATTTCAGACTTTTAGAGCTGTTCAGCTTCAAATTCTTATGTGCAGTTGCTGTTAAATTGGAATGTTTCATTTTTGGTAAGGTAAGGTGTTGACGTATGAGTGTGTGTGCATATGCGTGCGCGAGCGTGCTGTTACTTTTGCCTGCATGCGTGCGACTGAATAGAAGCTCGAGCCTACCGTGCTTTTGAAAATCGGGAAGGTAGGTGCTGCTCGATCGGTCGGCTCTGCATGACGCTGATGAATACACTGATTGGCCCACATGAAGACAGGCCTGATCGTGACAGGCTGATCTGCGTCTATTGTGCTCTTTGATTGGATGAGAGAGACGATGTGATGACGGCTGTCTCCCATTGTGACAGGGCTGCCGTGCATTCGCTGAAATGTGCCATTTAATGAAACGTTCATCCTAGCTAGCAGATAGAAATATCTTGAAGAGAACAAATGATGTCTCTAAACATCTATCATGTAAGACATCTCTATTATGACAAGTATATTTCTATCTGGGCTTGTTTTCTGTGTTTTGATTGCTAAGTAAACTCACATTGCTGAAGTTTCTGCCTTAAAATGTCTGCCGTGAATCATCCAGGTGGCAGTGAAAATTTAATGGCTTCATCTGGCTTATGCTCAGCATTTTAAATCACCTACTTAAGGACAGACATGTATTAACATATGTTTCCAGCATTATTACACAATGTATTCAGTGTATTTGTGTATAGTGGATGCCCTCGCTATTACGGATGTTTGGATTGTGATAGGCTAAAAAGTAAAACTGTTTCTCTTATTTATTTTTTAAACCTTTGAAGCCTCTTTCAGACTCTGTACACATGAAAAGGCTGCGTGTGTGTTTGCGCGAGTGTGTTTTTGCTCTGCATACTGAGATGTAAAGGCTGTCAAATGGTGCAGACGAAGCCTAGCTTAGGTTAGCTCAGCGTAAAGAGGCTTTTTGAGGAGCCTGCAAAGCTGAAATGAGTTTCTTTGAGGGGGTGGATTGGTGTGGGGAGGGGTGTCTTAGAAAGATATATAGCATATGTGTGTGTGTGTGTGTGTGTGCGTGTGCGTTTGTGTGTGTGGGCAGGAGAAATTGAGAAAAAGAGACCGTGCCTGTGAGAGAACAGCTAAAGGAATGAATGATAGAGGGAGCAGAGAGGGAAATAGGAAGCGAGGGAGAGATAAAGTGAGTCGTCTTTTCTCCTGTGATGTAGAGCAACTGCCTGTATCTGCAAAGGGACAGCGGTGCTCCTGTCTGCCCTCCCAGCCCAGTCATTCACCAAGGGAGATCAGCCCTGATGGGGAGCGCTGGACCTTTCCCCTCCTCCATAAAACACAGTTATCATTCTCCCTGGAAATGATACCCACAGATCACTAATCACTTTGAGTGGGTGAAAATGCACGAATTGTGGAGGGAAGAAAGAAAGGAGGGAGCCAAATTGGATTTTCATAAGTATCGAGCAGCCAAAGGAAGAGGGGGGAAATGGATTTTTTCATGAAAAGTATTGAGCAGCAATAATCTGGATGGAAAATGTGCTTAAAGCCAAGTAGCAGATTTTGCCCTTTTCTTTTCTCTCTGTCTCTCCAAGAATAGACCGTGAAGGGTTCTGGGTGAATGAATGATTGTAGATTCTGAATAGGATTGACGAGTGGCTCTTGGTCATAATTGGCAGCTATGCTTGTTTATGATATTTGTATGTTCTTCGAGCTCTGAAGCAGGCTGCCTAGTTAATAATGGTTGTTTGTCTGCATGTCCAAGTGTTCTCGATATCAATCCAACAATCTATACGCTACACAGACAAGTGGTCAGCCTCGCTTGAAGTGACCTTTAAAAATGCGTGTACGTGAACGGACGGACAAATAGACGCAAACTCACACACAATAACCTTTAGAAAGTGCCCGCTGAGTAGGTGAGTGAGTATGTGTTCAGTGTAAATATGCATGAGTAAGGCTGCCTGCACATATTCTTCACGGTCAGTGGATGAAGGCAGTGGAGAGCGAGGTGTGTTTGTCTGTATGTTAGTGTGTGTCTTGTGTGAGTGCATGGGTGCATGTTCAGGGGAGGTGGATTGTGAGTCATCACTTGTGACTCATAAAGCGTCGGCAATCAAAGCGGCTCATTTTAACACATTGTCTTATGGTAAAAACACGCAGATGGACGCACACTCCTGGCTGTGCACACACATGCCCAATATCACAGTCTTTGGATTTCTTTTTAAATTGTCTCTTTTGTGCGTCCCCCCCCCGCCTCTCCACCCCCTTTTGTTCTTTCATGGATAAATGCGCTTTTTCGGAAGAACGAAAAAAAAAGCACACATGTACACACACATACACAAACGCAGTGGACGCGCTCCGTGCTGACTCCACCATATGTGGGGTTGGGAGTGGTAGCAGACGCCAAGAGGAACCAGTCAGTACCAGCAAAGTACAGCATGTCTCCTACCTCTTACTCATCACCAACAGCCCTAATAATAAATCATACAAGAGCTGATTATTTTTTAATAAACTACAGGCCCGCTAAAACAAATTTTAAATACATATTTTTGTTAGTCTAATTACACTTGTATAATTTCTCAGCACACTCTCGTCTTACTCTGTTATTTTAGGTGGTACTGTTGAAATGCTTCGCCCCTCATCAGAAGATTAATCAGCAGCAGTTTAAATTATTGATAAATGATGTGTTGCTCTTAGCAAAATGCCTTCCTTTTTAGTTTTAAATAATTTAGGTCTACAGATAATGATTACTTATTGATTAATTGGCAAGTTCGTTTTTTGATCAACAGATTCTGGTGCAGTGCACTTTTATTTATATCATGCCAAATCTCAGCAAAAGCCATCTAAGGGCAATATTATAGAAAGAATGTGTAGTGTAGCCATTAACCTCGACCAATTGGTGGGGCTTCTATTTTTATCTATTTTCTTTTTTTACCCGTTACATTAAATAAAATAAATAGAAATGCTTTACAGCCCAAGTTGATGTCTTGGATTTGTCTGACCAACAGTCAAAAACTTCTAAATATTAAGTTTACTCGCATGTATGACAAAGCGAAGTAGATACAAAGATTAAACAAAAACATTACCAAGATTGGACATTAATTTCAGATTAATTAGCCTAGTTAAACCCAATATGTTTTGGTTTAGGCTGGTTGATCCATTGTTGACGTTTTACTCCCATGGTGAGTGTTTTCCACCATATTATGACATTTTAAAATGATTAATCAGCAAATTAATCATCTGCAAAAATATTAGTTAGTGTCAGCGCTGTCAGGAAGCAGTGAAAGAACAGGCCCTGCGTTTATGCTTGTAGGTACAGTGAACAAGTATCAACTCAAAAATGTAAATTCACTCAGTTATTGTTTGCGTTGGCCTGATTTCTGTTCCTGCGGCTAATCCTAGCAAAGTACAATGAATGAAAGATACTCATCAGACGCACATTAGCCGCTGATGTTGTAAGGCTTACATAATTAACAAGACGGGCAAGTGAGCAGCCTCCAACTCGAGGTGAGAGAGAGAGATGCTTAGTGTTAGAAGGCAAGAATCTGATGATTGGCTGCCTGCCTTACTGACTGGCATGATTTTGTTTCCTGATGGCCTCATCTTGAGCTGTGAAAAAAGAAACTGTGCGCCCTCTAGCAATCAGCAATGGTAAAGCAATTGCAGCAAAGTTTTTATTGGAAAATTGACAATTATCCCAGATATAAACTCTCCACTAATGGGACTAATTCTGCCTCTACTCTCCACTACTAACACCCATTACGCTACTGTACTACAACACTCATTAATGCTTAACACCCATGCAGTTCTTGTAATGAAAGTCACAGCACCACATACAGAGCTCAGCCCCCACATTATGAGGGAGATGCAGTTACTGAATTCAACATGGGAAATGTGCTGCAATCCCACTACTAAATGT